AATTTCTTGACATTGAATTTTTCCATGTGTCCATTTTCAAGCTAATTGATGAAATTTATAATTGTTTATGAACTCCAATTCTGTGTTGACGTGACTTTAACCATGTTCATTATCATACACAGGCATGAAGCTGGTTTGAGATGGGTTTTGTTTTTTCAAGATACTAATGGACTTCTCTTCAAGGTTTGGTTAAGTTTTGTTCCCATGTATATATTTTTGGAGGAAGACTTATGTTTGATTGTAGTGGAATAGTTATCCTCTTTCCTTCTTGATATGTCAGGCCATTCCAGCAGCATTGGGTGTTAGTGCCTCCAAACAATACCATGTTAATTCTCTTGCTGTCCCTCGCAAAGCTAAAGAAGCCATTGGAGGCATAGCCAAGCTTACTCATGCAGATGGTACTTTTTATTGATTGTCAAGTACAAAGGAAGGGAAAATATGATATTTTGCTTGGTTTCTGCATCACAACTACTGATCTGCAATTTGACCTTCAAGCTTTCTCATCGATCTTTAATTATGCTTGAGGAACTTTGACTTAGCATATTACTTATCTATCCTATCCCAGGATTAGAATTATTATCCCTGCTTGATGGGAATTAAAGTAATCCACGTTGGATGTACCATGGGACTTGCTGAAACAAGAGTCCCTCTTTCTCTTATTTTAAAGGGAAGGACCAGAACAGTAGCTCTAGATATTCAGATTTTGCCAACTTATTAGTCAGTTCCGCCAGATAACTTCACCATGTCTTTTTAAATTCTCACAATAACTGTAAATAATGGGCTTGAAATGAGGGAGGTTAATGTAAGGTGATGAGCTTGTAGATGGCATGTCCAAATGCCTAGTTTGAATCTTGCCACTTTGTTGCATGTCCCATCCGCTATTGAAAACACTACTCACCATCCAACTTGCATGTTTTAAGCAGGCCACCAGCATTTAATATCAAATGACCAATATGACATTCTTGTGATCCCTGAAATCTGATATTTGAATAGGTGCAATGTTACTCTGTCAACCTCTGCTCTGGCGGTTTGCTTCATCAGTCCAAAGTCTTGATTCAGACTATTTGTTCTAGTCTTCTAGACATCACATTTTTTATTAAGAAACTTAAAGTTACCATTGTATATGTAAATCTCGATTTTCTAGTAATCCCAAACCTCAACATGCAAATCTATGGTTTGCTGATACAACCTGATCATTCATTTCAGCGTATATGAACCACAGGTCCACAACAAATTCATTGGTACAACCTCCTCTGGACCAAAAAAAAAAAACTTTAATGCTTGAAACATAGGTATTAAAAGCCCAAAGCAATTTCCATGTAGAAAATAAGTTGTTCTTTTTGAGCCAGCCACATAGTGAACGATAAATTGTTAGACTTGCACGTTCTGTATACTTTCAGAAGATTTATATGGAGAGGTTGATTTAGGAAGTAGGATACACTTAATGAGCATTCTTCTATAAGTGTGGCTGAAGTTTATTACCATGGTGTTTGAGTTTCTATGTTATTTAAATAAAACATGATGTAGCATGGAGAAGCAATACTCACAAGAATGTTCCTGTGGACAATGAACTTCCTATTTTAATGATAGACTACTAACATAAAATTCAATTGACTTCAGGGAGGACGATGGTGATTAACGTGGAATACAATCAGCTTGATCCTCTGCTTAGAGCAACTGGATATCCTGATGGTGATGTCAATTGTGAAACCGGCTATTCTCCTTTTCCTGGAAACATAAACCAAGTACATTTTTTTTCATAAAGATATATTGTTCTTATTTCTTTTATTCACACATACATTTCACAAGCATGTTTTTGGTTTTCCATTTTCTTTGCGATGACTCATTAGCCAGGCCTGATTATTGTCTTCATGTGTTTGCTATTTGAGCTATTTTCTCCATTGATGGGATGTCAATAATTTCCAACGATTTAGATTAATTGTTTCCTTTAAGTTGATTTTGAGAATGAGTTGTCATAATGTTCAGGCCCTTCCCTTTTTTTAAACAGCTCGACCACCCAAGTCCAGAGAAGGGTGCATAAGGTTGACAATAGGCAGAATATCATCATTTAAACCCTAAAAAGGAACAAAATGTGAAAATTTTTGTTCTCAAATATAGAATGGTGAAGCCCAGTTGGTTGCAATCTTTATCAGGCCGCGTTGTAGTCATTATCATCTCAAAGTTTCACTAAAAGTTATCAGGGGCTGTGCTTTTTTGGTTTTCAAGTTATATAATCTATGTCTTGTCACACATATTAGTTACTTGAGGGCATTGGAATGACAAATAATTTTAGGTCAAAATGATCGAAAGGAGTATTGACTCATGTATGTCATGAGTATCAGATTTCTCCAATATCTTGACTCACTCCATCTCACTCCGTCTTATGTGCAGACATAAGTTTCTTGAGTGAAGCCTATCTGCCCACGTATTTTGCGTCTGGACTCTTACGCAAACATCTCTACCTGTGTTTGTGCCGGACTGTTTGTCTTGTGACGTGGTGGGTGGTTGCATTCACATGCACATATGTGCATACACAGAAAGGGTTGGAAATGAGAAAATGGTGCGGGCTAGGTGGGATGAACTCAAGAAAATCTCGATGTATGGTGCCCTCTGCATAAATATTTTTGCAGTGACAAGTATAACACAACAAATTGATTGCTCCATAATCATTATTGCCTATTAATACCATTGGACTAGGTACCCTCAATTTTTTTTGTTTGACATTAGGTATGTATTTTTTAAAATAAAATTTAAACATATTTCATTGTGCTCACCCTATTATTGCGTTCTTGTGATATGGATTAGGATAAAAACTCTTGCCTAAATGATTACTAACTTTTGACCAACGTTATTGGAATTTGGAACCTAATTTCAGTACCTAATATATTGTGACATTAAATCTAATAGTGAGTCCTAATATTTAATAGAGTCCGCTATCCATATGATGGATACGCTTCGGTTATGTCCCAATAAGTTTTGGACATATTAGGGTTATTGTGTAATTTTTTTAAATTATAGAATTATTTTATTATTATTTGGAAATGAGTGCATAATGTAAGAACCTACAGAGTCATAAATGGATGATTGTTACCATGATTTTATATATTAAAAAAAAATATTGGTTGATGGCACCGATTTGTATCGTAGTCTTATTCTTGGTACCAAACTATAATTAATTTTTTTTTTAATTTTTGTGTACACGCGATGTAGATCGATTTTTTATTTTTACTATGTTTAATAAACTTTGAAGTTTTTAAATATGATTTTAACAAATATGAATTTATGAACTTTTACAGTTAATTGGAAAAAAAAAAAATTAGAACTCGTTAATATGCCCCTAAACTAATTTACTGGCTCCGCCCCAGTGCCTATTTGCCTGTATTTTGTTCTCCTGGATTCTATCTAATGTTGGGTGCACTTTTGATGGATACCTCCTTTTATTAGAAACGTTATTTACAAAGCATTAGGTGCAGAAAAAGTCGTAGTAATGAGGTAATCGATGATCAAATAGTTTACTCACATATTTGTCACCTTAGAGAAATTTATGTCATCAGATTTGGTTCTTTTGGTGTTGATTGATTATTATTTTTTTTATTTTTTCCCTCCTAGCTAAATATTTTCTTGCTTAGGCTTGACTTGTGGGGTTATATATTGTGTGCAGTTGATTTTCGAACTTGGCCCTTACATCGAAGAGCTTACAAAAACTGGAGGTTCTATAAAGGAGTTTGTAAACCCCAAGTAATTTGTCTGTCTGCTTCTCTGTATGATCAAGACTTGATTTTAAAATAATGATGCTTGTGCATTGTTTTGGTGGTTTCACTTTTCATTGTCCGAAAATATTCGGATTGTTTTCCATCTACTTACTTCCTGCACAAGTTACAGAGCTATACTGTTGTATTTTTTTTCCAAGAAAAAATAGTTATTCTGGTTCTGAATCAAATGTGGCAGATAATAGCTCACGTAATTTGGTTGCATATATTATCCAACACATGTTGCCTATGTGGGTAAAGAAATACAACACATCAGTTACGCATCACGTAGTGATTCATATGTTTTGATCAAATAGGAAAAAGGACAGTCTAGTGCACGACCCCCGTATGCTGAGAGACTAGTTTCGCGACTCGAATCTATGACACCCAGATCATAATGAAGTGATCTTACTGCTACAGCAGACACCCTCTTTTTATCAAATATATTTTGTTAAAAAAATTAGACAAGTAAATAAACAAGGAAACTAAGCGTTAAGGAAGACATACCCAAATGCCCAATACAAGCCCTCTAAGCAACTCCAGAAGCTAACCTAAATCTAGACAGAAAGAACAGAAGTAGCTGAGAAAACCCAGCATGTTTGACAAATAAAATCAGTGACACAGTTCTATGAATGATGTTTGAGAGGTCTTCCATTGAATGAGTATCCTTCAGTTTTCTGAAATATCACTATTAAGCTGCGTGTCCGTGAGAGTGCATCGTTTCTCCATCCATATGTGATTAGTCAAAGGTGCAAATGCTACCTTCCTGGCAACCCCTACATATACATTCCTTTATTTTTTTGGCAACTCAATCGGGATGGAAACTCCAGAGCCCCAGGCACTGTCTTTATGGCATAGCTCGGCTAAAATCAGGGTTATAAATCTGTGAGAAAGTGGCAACGGAATACTGGATGATCTTGGTATCCTTCACAACAACTGTAATACACAAAATTTCTGGAGATAAAGTTTCTCACCCATAGTCTATCATCTTTAGACGACCTTCCTTTGATTGCCAACCTAAATATGAAAAAGGTTCCTTGGTAGCTGTGCTAGATCAAAACCAGACGCTGTTATAGAATTGGTGGCAGTTTCTCAGTTAAAAGCGGGAAGAGTGATACAGATAGATAAGTATTTGAGAGGCGAAGGCAGCTATAGGATGTGATCTTCTCTTTCGGAGTTAGGTAACGGGGGCATTAGCAGTAGCAGTGTGTGGCTCTATGTGTTGAACTGTTCCTCTCGGGCCATTTCCATTTGTTGGTCACAACTTTACAGTTCAGTTTTGGTAATTCGTTGAGCCCCAAATTATTATAAAAACGATATCCAAGGTACTTTTGTCAACGCCTAAAGATTCCAGTTGTTGATGTACAAGAAAGTTAAATTGTCATTACCTGTACCAGGTTTTGACAATTTGACTCCTTCAGACCTCAAGCTTTATGAGGGTTAAATCATGATATTTGAACTAGCCAGAATTTGGCTGATCACTAACATGACACACTAACTTGTGCCATCCAGTTTCTGTTGGAATCTCAAATGTGCAAAGCTATTTTGAAACTTTCCTTTTCTTTTAGTGACTAATGTGTTGTTTCTCTCACTGCAGATATAAAGATTCTAGCAAATCTGCATTTAAATCTTCTACTCGGCTAGAGTGTATGATGCAAGATTATCCTAAAACATTGCCTCCATCAGCAAGGGTTGGATTTACAGTGAGTAGAGTGCTGGATAACTTGTGTATCAATATCTTCCATTTGACATCTGTTTTCTTACTTCTTGGACAGAATATGTTATGAAGCTGCTTTAAAATCCGTCATTCATTTTGAAATTACAACTATTGTCTGACTTCTTAGGTGTTGGATACATGGCTTGCTTATGCACCTGTGAAGAACAACCCTGAAGATGCTGCTAAGGTATTTCTTTGTCCAGTATATTTTTAGTACATTGTTCACTGTGGCCCATTAAATAAGCTATCCCCCCATAAGTCCCCCAAACCCGCTGAAAGATTTGATCTCAGCTCTTTGGTATTTACCTGATAGACTAGATGGCACCTTTTATTGTTAGATGGTTATGTAAAAATTTCCAGAGGTATTTGTGTTAGGTGATTTTTCATTGACATTTCTTGTTTCTATACCATTGAAACTGTTTTGTGATTGATGTTTTTAAACTCACGTGCCCCATTCATCTCTATTAATTTTGTTGAATTGAACTGAAGGTACCCAAGGGAAATCCATATCACAGTGCTACTTCCGGAGAAATGGCCATTTATAGGGCAAACAGCCTCATATTAAGAAAGGTACTTTATAAGTCTTCTCATATTATTTTAGGTTTGTAACCAATTTTTTACTTGATAATGCTTATTTCAATGTCTGTATTATGATCCACACTATTCTCCAATGATTGTATGGTGGTTTTACAGTTGTACAACAAATTATTTGGGCAGTGCGTCAGACACTTTTTTAGCAATTTTTATTTAATGTAAAAGCAAAAGAAATTAAGAACTTTCCTCCCCTTGGAATTCCAGAGTCCAGACCATACCTTATAACCGATGCCAATTGCCACTACCATGAATATACCATTTAGAGGTGTATCATGGCCCGGTTTGGCACGGGCACAGGCACAGGACAGCACATCACAGAACTAGCCATGCCTGCCCAGGAGTGACCCCTGTGCCATGCTGGGCTTGCCCTTCCAGCCTATTACCGCTGACGCGGCATGGGTCCTTTCCAAGCACAAGCTCGGCACTAGGTCCGGGCAAGGCCTAGGCATTACCCAACGGCAGTTTTTTTGAAAGTTTGACCCACATTGCCAAAATGACCCCTCCCAACAGCAATATAACGGTTGTTTGAGGGGTAATTCTGTGCGTTAATTATGAAACTAATCTATAAACATCCCAGGAATGACCCAGACACAGGCACGGGCACGGTTACGAGAACGAGCACAAGCATGAGCACCTAAGAAGCACGGATACGGACACGGCGATACGGCAAAATCCCAAAATGTAGGATACGGGTACGGCGAGGATACGACTAATTAAAATAATTATATATATTTTTATATATATAACAAACAAGACATAACAAACATTACTTAAATTGAAATAGATCAAAATTAAAAAAATATATATAATTTTCAAAACCAGCAGGCAGCAGCACACTAGCACAGAAGGCAGCAACACAGATGACCCAAAAAAAAGCTAGCTAGGAAAGCATAACAAAAAAGAAAAGATCGAAGCACAACAAAAAAAAGAAGACCAGCGGGTAGCAAGCAACACAACACCGAAAGGCAGCAAGCTAGGAAAGCAATTTTTAGTATTTAAAACCAGTTGGCAGCAACACAGATGACCAAGACCAAAAAAAAATCCCGAAGGCAGCAAGCAACACAACACTGGACCAAAACAAAATTCCCAAATTTTGAAAACCCTAAAAATCCCAATCAAATTAACCTAATCAAATTTTTTGAAAGTCCACACTCCACACAGACTAGAAGATGAAGAGGTAAGAGCAGCAGTAGATCTGAAAAAAAAAAAATAGAAGCAAGAAGAGGATCACAGTCGCAGAGCGCGATCGCAGCCGCAGGTGAGTTGCCCTTCCTCTTCCCTCTCCTTCTTCTTCTCCTCCTCTGGTCCTCTCGAGCTCCTCCTCTTCTCTTCTCTCTTCTCTCCTCTCTCTCTCTCTCACACCGAATGTCGATTGGAGTCGGTTCACAGATCAACAACGCTTTAGTTTTTTCTTTTCCAAGCCAAAACGACGTAACTTTGGCCTTTTTTTTTTCGTTTCGACCCACCTAAGTTTTAAAATAACAAAAGTATCCCGCCATATCCCCCACGTATCCGACCAAAAAAAATGATAGCCACTGTTCAGGACACTTCTACAAGTGTCGGACACGTATCCAACCGTCGGACACGTGTCCAACACTGCCACGGCGACCCCCCGACGAGTATCCGTGCTTCCTAGATGAGCACAAGCATGAGCACGGGCTGTGCGGTGACCAGGGCCCTGCACATGTGCCTTGCATGGCACGATGTACAACGAAGCACGTAACTAACTAGACCATTACATTTCTGGGACCATTGAATCATGGTAGCTTGGTGCGTCTGCCTTCTTGTTTTGTGAGTCGGCTACCATATTTACCTTGTAAACATCTGTCAATGGCATATTTTGGTCTTGCTGACATCAGTAAGCAGAACCAGCGCATGGGCAGGGTGGAAATTTGTTCTCGCTTAGGTGAGCTGTGGCCCGAAGAAAGTCCTTGAGGCTTATTTTGGCTGATCGTCAAACCTGCTTCTCATAACCATAGCTTTTTCTGTTCATGAAAATAGCTTTGAACACAGATTGAGCTGCTACAAATTGAGAAGTTTTGAAAGAGAGTTTTTAAGAAATTTCTCATTCCCTCCAAGTATGTCGTGGTGTTCTGTTGTTTTTTGTTTAGCAGTCATTGCTGCCTTCTCACCAGGGGATGGCTTTCCTTCATTTTCACAGATTTCACAGTCTGCTCCCAACTCTGAAACTTGAACCCGAAAGTCAGGGGTCATATTATGCGCCATGCCCCAATGTTCCCTTCGCTCTATGACATCAGAATCTTAGTAATGTTAACAAGGATCATATTATTTCAGGTTGAACAAGACTTCAGCTCCTAATCGTTGCCCTAAAAAGTACTGATGCAAATTTGCTGGTGACAGAGTCTGCTTGGCTCATTTAACAACCTTGGTCATTGTTTTTGCAGGAACCAGTAAAATTATTGTCTATTCAGTAATATTTCAAACTTTGACCATAGGTTTCCATATGGTCTCTATTCAAGGGCAAACGAGCTATAGAAGAATTCTAAGATTAAAATAGCTCGACAATCGACATGTGTATGTGTGCATATGTGTACTTATGTGCTTGCTTGTGGCACTTGAAAGTGGATAACTGACAAGTGTGATGGGTTCATTTTAGAAACGAGATACTTTAGAACTTTGTAGCCCAAGGAAACACAAGCTTTGGCCATGCCCCCCCCCCCCCCCCCCCTCCTTCTTTCTCTTTTTGTCTATTTCTGGAAGAATATATATGCAAAACTTATATAATGGATTATGTTTGTTGCAGGCTGGGGTTAAAGTTGAAGATCCAGTAAATCAGGTGTTCAATGGACAGGAGGTCGAAGTATGGCCCCTTATCACTTGGAAGCCCAAATGGGCGCTTACTTTTGGAGATATTAAGAGAAAAGTGAGCGGAAGCTGTTCCATTTCTCAGAAATCTGCCATGGTCATCAAGGGACGTAACATCTTTCTTGAAGATCTCTCCTTGGATGGAGCTCTTGTCATTGATGCTGTTGAGGAAACAGAGGTAAGCTAAAGCCTTTTTTTCAGCAATGCTTTTTTCTTCAAGTACATATAAAATCACTGTGTTGGTTATAATTGGGTGATTTAAGATAGTACACAGATGTCAGGTTATAATTCTTTTTTTTTTTTTTCATACTTGGATGTTACACCTGGTTTCCCAACATTTTCATTGTATTTCCTGTTATTTATAGGATATGATATTCTGCATCATGTCACAGTAGCAAGTTTGTCAGTGGTATTTATAAAGTGAACTTGTAATAGGTAAAGGTCGGGGGTTTGGTGCAAAACAAGGGTTGGATGATCGAAAATGTTGATTACAAAGATGTTGCAGCACCAGAGGAAGTAAGGATCAGGGGTTTCAGAATAAACAGGGTTGAGCATTTGGAAAAGACATACAGTGAGCCTGGAAAATTCACCTTGAAGGGATGAGTTTTAAACCTACTGAAACAGACTGCACTCAAGGTTTTCTTTGAACTTGTTATTTGATGCTAGTAAATTGCTCTTCTATCTCAAGTAGTCAAATTATGTCACTTGATTCCTGCAGCAGCCCAAAATGAAACATTTGAACTCCCTTTTGTAATATATTCGACAGTTCAGCGTAAATTGGGTTGCAAAATGTAATTTCTGGGAATGAAAATAAAAGTAATTTGATTTTGTGAGGAGTCTGGTGGAATCCCATAAAACTTATGTGCTTTAATTCTTTATTTTTTGCCCCAGGACAAGATAAACATGTAGCTCTGTCATGTGAGTGCAAGGCTTGTGTTAAGTTTTTATGAGTTAATTTGGTGAAATGTCGGTTCTTAGAGTCTAAAACCTGCCAACAAATTGGTTTGCTAGCCTTATTCTGAGGGGTAAATTGCACCAATAGTTTTTGGGGTTTACTATTTATTGCTCTTTAGTCCTTAAAGTTTTGATCATGTTAATTTGATTCTCAATGTTTACCTATTGAAACAATGTGGGTCTTAGCCCTAATGTCATCATTGTCCTACATTTCTTATACCCAGACACAGTTACACCTCAATAGAACAACATTAGCCATTAACCCAAACACACTTCTTCTTCAACCTCTCTTTTTTCTTCATTTTCTTACACACTCGCAAACTGAGCACATAACACACACTCTCCCCCCACCCACCCCCCAATACTCTCATATGCTAGACACATGATATTTTCTATAATTTTTTTTGGATGACAATTGGTGCAAAAGACGACTTTGGCTGAATGTGTGAATATTAAGGATTAAATTGACAAAATTAAAATTTTTAGGACTAAAGTGCAACTACCATTAAAACATCAAGGATCATTTGTGCAATTTACCCAATTCTAAAATAAGAATTGACTAGCACATGTGGGTTGCTATCCATGGAGGTTGACTTCAATTAGTTGCTATACATGTAGGACACGTGGATGTATATCTTCTCTCATGTTCATCCCGCGATGTTCGGTCCAAAATTTTCCACGCGACATACACACGGTGTTGAATTTGATGTTTAGGGTGATTTCAACCTAAGACTGTTCTTTTTTGAAGTTGTGGTCCTCATAAAACAAAGGAAAGTACTATAAATTTTGAAATTATAATATGCAATAGATTTTAATAATATTATTTAAAATTAATTTATTGATCTAATTTACTAATCTAAAAAAAAATATTTTTCTTAACCCCACTTTTAGACGGAAGACGAATAGAAGAGAACTTTCAAGAAATTTCTATAAACAAGTCTATCTTCCAATATCAAACCCCCTTCCAAGAACCTTCCTTCAACTTTTCCATACAAATCTCCACCACAATTTTGTCCTTATGGACCGTACAAGCATGGACAAACGATATAGATTTTTCTGCAACATCCTTGTATATATATAACCTTCTACCCAAAACTGCAAGCATACACATATACACCTACCATTAGCATAGTAGATTACTTCAACTTTGCCATATTTAAAAGCTTGGCACCACAACCATGTCTTCCATTAACTCCGATGACTTGCACCGGATTTTCGAGAAGTTTGACAGAAATGGTGATGGCCTTGTGAGCTTAGATGAGCTTAAATGTCTTCTTGAGAAAATTGGTGTCCACCCCAGCAGCCTAGACGAGCTCGAGTCATTGGTGGGCAAAAAGAGCCTTGACATTATTGATTTCATGTTCTTCTATGAAACTATCATGGAGAAGAACATGGAAACAGGCAAGGAGGAGGATATCAACAACTTGGACAGTGATCTTGTTGAGGCTTTCAGGGTATATGATTTGGATGGAGATGGGTTCATTTCTTGCGATGAGCTTCAGAGCGTGTTGGCGAGATTAGAATTGTGGGACGAGCATTGTGGGAGGGATTGTAAGAGTATGATCAACTTTTATGATGCAAACTCTGATGGGGTGTTGGATTTTGAAGAGTTCAAGAACATGATGCAGATTACCAATCCTTAAGATTTCTCTTTTGTACAAACAATTACTATCTGGGATTAAATTTTTTACAACCTAGCAGGTAAACAATTATAGGCAGTTAATCAAAATTGAGTGGTTATACAAATATATAAAATGAATTTGTGTAGCTCTTCAATTTTAATTGGTTGTCCATAAATAATTTATTTACAAGCTTCCTGTAAAGAAGCTATTCTCTTATTATTTCAGTATTAGGATTTAGGATTGTGATGTTCATCAAGACTTTTATGTTGTGAGGAGTCTTATACACTTAAATATGACTGTTTTTTGTAATTATTTATAGGATTAATAGTATTTTTGGTCCCTAAAGTATATATTTTTTTATCAATTTAGTTCTTATTATATCAATTTGATTCTTAAAGTATATATTCAATTCGTGTTATTTTGGTCCTTACATAGATGCATCGTTAATTTTTTGATAGAACGATCACGTGTTGTCAACGATGACAGTGAATTAGGAAAAAACGGGTATTCACCCAAACTCACCTCGTTTGAACTGGAAATAGATTATACGTATTTAACGGTTAACGTATACGAGGATACTCGTATAAATCCCATGGAGACAGGACTCCACAGAGGGCTAGTCTACTTTAATTGCTTCCCTGATTTTACCCTTGACCTTCATTGTCCTAACACACACATGACACTAACTCTTGATATCCGTCTTACAGGCGATATTACCAGGTTAGTAAAAAACACTAGTTCCATAGTACTTATTTACAGGATTTACTACAAGTGTATTCGTACTAATCTTAATGTACAATGCCTTGACCCAAGTCTTAAGGGAAGTACTATGTTAATACAAGCCAATTCTGCACAAACCAACATCCAAATTCCAAAGCAGATACTTTGGAAAGATGTGACTTTACCAGAGTCTTGGACCATGCAGAATGAAAATTTTGATAAAGAATCTAGTACCGAGTCAACTACAACTGATCTGGAGACTATCAGACAGCTCCCTGATGGATCGGTTAAAATATCTTTTGATACTGCTAGATCCAGTAGGTTCACACCCAGGCATGATCAGATTCTTGAAGGAAGGAAATCTGATTTTTCATCTGTTTCCCATAGAGACAGAGAAATTGCCAGAGAACTTGATCATAGGTTAAAAGGAATCGCTAATTCCTCAGACTCAGTAGCTAGGCCAGTATACACTCCCATAAGTGTACCATTAAGGTCTAGATATACAGAATTTAAACAAACAGAGAATGATGAATTCACTCCTTCACCTTCTCTGTCACCCACTGCTAGTGCCTTTGATGGAAATGTAGAATCCAGCAAAATCCATCAATTATACACTATCACTAGGGAAAAAGAATTTTTTACGCCTGATATTTACAAGTTAAAAAAGAATTTCAAAACCCCTGAGAACAGACCTCTTAGGAAAGCTTTTGAATCTCTACTTTGTAAAAATCAAGAAAAAATAAAAAAAGAATGGATTTCTTTAATGTATAAATTAGAATCTGAGATTGGTTTAGAAGACTACTTAAAAAACTTCCACAAAGAAGTAAAAGTAGTAACTCAGCAAAATTGAAAAACAGAATCTACTATGATAACCTCTAGTCACCCCCCAGCAGAAACTATTGAAATTAAGTATGCTACCAAAACTGTTACTGCTACTCCTTTTAAGATTCCAGTTTTAGAATCTGAAAAGAAGATAATTGAACAGGTCAATTTCACCAACCAAAGCCTGATCACTATAGGTAAACAGTTAGATAAAATTGAAACTAAAATAGATGAGATTAAACCATCTTCAGTAGAAAGACCTCTAGTCAACCTACCTGAAGAAAGGAAGAATTTAGGTTTAAAAATAAAAACCTAATTCAACAAATTGATGCACTCTTATCCAATAAGGAATCTACCAGTACTTCTCAAATAACAGTCATCAACCAAACTGAAGAAAGTTCAGAGTCTAATACAGAATCTAGTAGTCCGGAAGACACCACTAATTCTGAATCTGAAATAGAAAACTTAGAGAATCAGTTTAAGGATCACAGTATGACCCAACCTGATTCTAAAATCAATGCACTGGTTAGAGTCCCTACCAGCTCCACAAAAAACTGGTATTCCAGACCTACTCCACCAGATCTTCAGTATGACGAAAAAAATGTGTTAAACCAATTTTATGTTCAGTCTAACAGACTCTATGAATGGAACATAGATGGTCTAAGTGAGCAGGAGATTCTTAATAAAATTAGTCATCTATCCATGGTGTTAAATAATTATATGACCAATCTAGATAGCCCTGAACCTGAGATTGTCAAACTAATAGTTTCAGGATTCACAGGTGTTCTTAGAAATTGGTGGGATAATTATTTAAACCAGGAACAAAGAGACAGTATCATTAATGCTGTTCTCAGAGATGATGAGGGTCTTCCAATCTTTGATGAAAGGATTGGAACAGCTAGACCTGATGGATGTAATACCCTTATATTCACCATCATCAAACACTTTGTTGGCACTCCTAGCAACATAACTGCCAGGATCCATGACCAATTGACCAACCTAAAATGTCCCACACTCAGTGACTTTAGGTGGTATAAAGATGTCTTTGTTTCTCGTGTTATGGTAAGACAAGACTGCCAAAAAGCTTTCTGGAAAGAAAAATTTGTTAATGGACTACCTAATATCTTTGCCCATAAGGTTAGATAGAGAAGCCCTTAGCAAAGACACAGGAATCATTGAATATGATAACCTTGCTTATGGAGAAATCATTAGCACCATCCAGAATGTAGGATTAAAATGGTGTGTTGATTTGAGAATCAATAAGCAATTAACAAATGAAAAACATAAGGCTAAATATGAATTAGGTAATTTTTGTGAACAATATGGGTTATAGTCATTAGCTCCTTCCCATAAGAAACACAGAAAATCCAAATCACATAAGCCTTATTCTAAAAATAAATCTTATCAAAGATTTTTCCCTCACCACAAAACTGCCAAAAGATCTAAACCTGAATCTTCAAGAAAAACTAGAAGAAATTTTAGATCCAGAAGGACAGATAAAAAAGGAAAAGCCCAAGATGATATTAAATGTTTTAACTGTGGAAAACCAGGCCACATTAGTCCTAATTGTCCAGTTAAAAAGCAAGTCAAAAGATTAAATTTATCCCAAGATGATGAGAGCAGAATCCTTGAAATCTTTAGGATAAATAATTTGGAAAGTTATGAAGAATCAAACAGTCCAGTAGACACCTCAGACTCTTCAGATTATTATTCAGCCTCTGATCACCCTGATAAACCTAGAATTAAAATAGGATGCTCTTGTCAAAAACAAGTCAGGGTAATCACTAAACAAAATGAAGAACACATACTTATAAACTTGATCTCCAAGATAGAAGATCCAGATCTAAAAGATAAGTATGTAAAACAGCTTAGAAACATTTTCAGTAAAAAGGATAATAAGCAACCTATTATTGAAAAACAAGTAATAAGCCTTAACAAAACTATGGAAAGATTTAGTAAGGAGAAGAAAAAAGAAATCACCTTACAAGATCTCCAGAGTGAAGTTAATAAGCTTAAACTAGAAATAAAAGATTTAAAAGCTCAAGACAAAAAATTTGCTGAAGCTTTAACTCTTTTACAAACAGAAAAACATTCTGAAAAATCCCAGGATTCTGATCCAGAAGATCAGACTGAAGATTTTACTAATCCTTTTGATCATCAATGCTTTACACAGGGGATACCAGTAACCTCCTCCTTTTAGACGGAAACTTCTGGTGTAACGAACCTGTCTTCATTCCATGAAGTAGGCACTAATGATGATAAAAGAATTAGTATGATTAACTCTTTGACTGTCCAAAAATGGCATGTCGAAATAAAATTAATCATTAACAATAGTTACCATGTTACTGTTATTGCCTTATTAGACACTGGAGCAGATGTAAACTGCATCCAAGAAGGATTAATTCCAACCATGTTTTATGAAAAAATATTGGAAAGAATTAGTTCTGCTAATGGCAGTAAGATGAATGTTAAATACAAACTTCCAAGAGTTCATGTATGCCAACAAGATGTATGTTTTGAAATATCATTCTTACTTGTCAAAGACAAGACTGACTCTGTTATACTTGGTCTTCCATTTATATATCTTTTGTACCCTTTTAGTACAAATACAGATGGAATATCAACCAAGTATTTTGGGAGAAAAATTGTATTTACATTTATCACTAAACCAGAGAGAAAACATTTAAGGCATCTAAAAGACGTTTCTGTCTCACAGTCCCTTAATGTTATAAACAGAAAAATTAAACAAGTGGAATTTCTTAAACAAGAGATTAACCACCTCAGAACTAAAGAAAACCTAACCAACCCAATCTTACAACAACGGATTGATAGGTTTAGAGAAAAACTAGAATCAGAAGTTTGTTCCTCCCTTCCTACAACATTCTGGCATAGGAAGAAACACATGGTTAGACTTCCTTATGTCAAAGGATTTAAGGAAGACCATATTCCCACTAAGTCTAGACCAATCCAAATGAACCATGAAACTACTGAGATTTGTAAAAAGGAAATCACAGAGTTACTAAAAAATGGTATCATTAGGAATAGCAAATCACCTTGGTCTTGTCCTGCTTTCTATGTAGTCAAAAATGCAGAATTAGAAAGAGGAGTCTCAAGGTTAGTCATAAACTACAAACCTTTAAACAAGGTTTTAGAATGGATAAGATACCCTATACCTAACAAACAGGATTTGATAAAAAGACTCAATAAGTCTACAATCTTTTCCAAATTTGACCTTAAAAGTGGTTTTTGGCAAATACAGATCCACCATATGGATAGGTATAAAACCGCTTTTACCACTCCTTTCGGACATTATGAATGAAATGTCATGCCTTTTGGGTTAAAAAATGCCCCAAGTGAATTCCAGAACATAATGAATGAAGTCTTTAATTGTATCAGTCATTTTTCTATTGTCTATATAGATGATATATTGATCTTCTCCAAGACAATAGAAGAACATTGGAAGCACCTCTATGCTTTTGATACAATTATCAAACAAAATGGGTTAGTATTATCTGCATCCAAGATTAAATTGTTCCAAACCTCAGTAAGGTTTTTAGGATACAATATCCAGGATTCTACTATCACTCCTATTAGTAGAGCCATCCAGTTTGCCGATAAATTTCCAGATGAAATCCTAGACAAAATTCAATTACAAAGGTTTTTAGGTTCCCTAAATTATGTTTCTGACTTTTATCAGGATCTTAGGAAAACCATCAAACCTCTGTATGACAGGCTCAAAGGAAATCCTTCTCCTTAGACCACTGTTCATACTTCTATTGTTCAACAGGTCAAGAAGTTTATAAAAACTCTTCCCTG